GTGGGAGGGTCAGAAGCATGGGTCCTGCGGCCTGAACACAGGCCTTGGGCGGGAAGCGGGGAGATGAGAGCTAATGCTCAGACAGACTTGCTGTGCCCGGTGCTGCCATGCTCTTTATGTGCATTGTGCTCACTGAATCTCCCGACTATGCTCTGAGGTTGACTCTATCTTGTCCCCATTTTACAGAAGAGAAAACGGAGGCTTAGAGGACGAGTCATGTGGCCAAGGGCCTGCAGGCAGTAGGGCAGAACTGGGCTCGCTCAGCCAGCCGCTCCCTGTCCCATCACCACGGTGCAAGTCCTGAAACCCCACATGGTCCAGAGCCGTGTTTGCTACAGTAGATGTTTGGACTTCCCCGAAGCCATGGAGGCCAGACCCAGGGGGAGAGCGGGTCTGTCCTTTGTTTTTAAAGATCCCTGTGGCTGACCAGCCAGAAATGGAGTGGAGGGGGCAGGACGAGGCCGTCTGCGTGCAGTATTGGTGATATGAACGATGCGGCCCAAGTTAAGGGCTTTTTCTTTGCCCTATGAAAGGTCTTTCATTCCTGTTTTCTAATCTCTCTGGGACCTGGGCCCAATGCACCTTAAAGGCAGTAGGTAAACCTAAAACACTTAAAAAATGTCAAACCTCATTAAACCCAGGCTTCTCTAATGAAAGCTGCTTAGCCCTGAGCCCTGCTTCGTCTCAGGTGCGAGTTATGAAAACTGCCAGGGAATTAACATGGAACCAAGTTGCCTTTTGTTTTGTTCTTCTCCGTTTCAGCCGAAAGCGCCCACCCGGCCTGAACAGGAAGAATGCATTCGCTGACAGTACCTTTTTTTTTAATCAAACAAAACACGTAGGTTGCTACCTAGATGTGGACAACTTTGTTAGCACCTCAAATGATCCTTCAACTCAGGTTTGATTGCCACTAAAAACTGTATTTACTTAAGACTGTATTTTCTATTGATGTACTTAAGTGCCTAAGTTGAGAAGTATTTAAGGTACTGGAAGTCAGACTAGTTTTGCTGGTATTTAGTAAAACAAAGGACAGGAATTTTCAGCACTTTCTTAAAGGCAGACATTTGACTTACGTGTCTAAATGTCTGCCCGAATCCACGCCTGGGGAAAGGGCCATCTGTTACCTGACTACCTGCTACTTTGCCAAGTTCATCATGGGTTCAGTAGACACGCTCAAGACCACTGCTTCCCCACCCCACCCGCTCCACGCACGTGCCCCTCTCCAGGCTCACACCACCTGTGGCAGTCTGCCCGGCACAGGCGGTGTCGTGTGATAATGGGGCCCTCAGCTCTGGAGCCAAACTCCTTGGGTTCGAAGCCTGGCTTTAGAGCAGCCAAGCTCCATAAACTTAAGCAAGTTACCTGTGACAGTTCTGAGGGTTCGACAAGGCAGGCCATGTGCTCAGCGTGGTGGGCTGCTGCTGCAGCTCTGCTTTGTCCGAGCAGATACGTCTCCTTTTGGGAAGAATACCTGCCCTCAGTGTGTTGATGAGTCAGTTATTGGTTAGCAGACGAGGACTTTAAATAATCATAAGTATGTTAAAGAAAACACAGGGCAAGGTGGGTAAAAAGGACAGAAAGGTAAGAATTGCATCAGAGACTTGAAATCTATAAAAAATAATCAAATGAGCATGTCATTGAAAACCATAACATCATAAAATAGTCTTTAGTCTGCAGATGAGTGAGGGTCTTCCCATCCTGAAATACCTATTTTCAACCTGTTGTGCTGTTTCTTCATCACATCTGTAACTGGTACTCTACCTTTGTGTTTGTATTTGTTCCCTACAAGTCATGCAGTGTGACTGGGAGTTAACGCAGGCCTCACGGCGAGGTCTTGGAAGGCCTGCTTGTGGGGGGGCTCTGGGCTGGAGCTGGAACTGGCTCTGGAGGCGCCCCTAGTTTTCAGGTAACTCTTTTGCCTGCTTGGGGCGCTGAATGCCTCCCTTCCTCTGGGAGTCTGGAATTTCCATAGCTACGGCTTTGGTCTTTGAGCCTCAGGCGGGCTTCCCTGGGCAGGCACTGCATGTGTAGGAGCCTCTGCGTGGGTTCCTTCAGCTTCCAGGTGCGTGGCTTCTCCCTGTTGATCCTGTGGAATATCCTTTCTCTGGTCCTCCAGCGAATCACTGAATGTGTGGGTAGCTGTGGGACCTGACAGTGTCCCTCCTTAACACCCTTTGTTGAAACTGCTCCCAAAAGGCTCATCTGCTCATTAACCCAGTAGTCTTTCTTCGTCCACAACATCTGTCAGTGATATTACTCCAGCTTTCCTCCTCCCCCTCCTGCGTTCATTCAGCAGACCTTGCCGAGTGCCTGTGGGCAACCGTGCTCTGGCACATCAGTGCGTGTTCCGAGCAGCACATGGTCTGCGGGGAAGACAGGAAGCAGATGGTTCACGCTGACGGAGTCCTGTGCTGTCGGCGGCATTAAAGGGGAGATGCGCTTCAGAACGGTGAGCGTGAGTCAGGAGGGAGGCCTGTGGAGGGAACATCACAGCAGGAGGAGGTCTGTTTGGATAAGAGCCAGAAGCAGTGCACCCAGCACAGAACAGCTCATGCAGATGTGTAAAAAGCCATTGGGCCCTGGCAGTGTGGCTCATTGGTTGGGTGTCATCTGTACACGGCGAGGTCTCCAGTGTGATTCCTAGTCATCCGATGCCCAGTAGGGGGCATGCAAGAGGCAGTCCCAGCAGCAGCATCTGCCCCCAGCAGCACCACCACCTCTGAGCTTGGTGACAGGCTCTGGGCCCGCTGGTGTCCATGAACAGTGCCTTTCTTCAGTTTTATTTTGAGTGTCAAATCCTCAACACTCACTTCTCCTGTTGTTCCTTGTGGAGCTTTACTTCCAGCTGGTGTGGAGCTCATTTTCTCTGCTGGGTAAAGGCATCTAAACGCTCCAGGCGGCAGTGACTGAGGGAGGATGCGGTGGGGACCCAGGGATCATCACTGAGTCACACACGGCCCTGCCGAAAGGCACAAAACGATGTGGGAAACATGGGTGGCACCAAAGAATTTATTGTAAATGTGGTGGCAAGTACAATGGGAACAATTGTCATTGAAAAGGAGCTAAAAATGACGCGTTGAAAGCTGTGCTTTTCCCGCCACCTCTGTCGTGGCGAGCACCAAGGTCTGCGTCCTGAGAACCTCCCGGGACAGTCCGTGTTCACATCACTTCACGGCTGTGTCTTCATCTGACATTTAAAGCAGTTAACCATGAACTTCAGTTTCAATTATTCTCTGTTTTTATCAATTCCGTAATGATCTGTAGAATCTTGTCATCTGAGTGGGAGAAAAACACCATGAGCAAATTCATCACTGGCTAGTTTTCCAATGTATCCACAGGTAAACCACAGGTATCCCTCATTAAAAAACGCCTTTACATTAAAATACAAAACAAACAGCAGCAATATTCACTATGAAACTACAGACGCCTATGTAACCTGTCGCCCTTCAAGTGCTGTTTTAACAATTGCCATGCTTGTGCTCAGGCCGGAAGAGACGATGCGATGCGCTCAGTCCTTCCAGAGGCGTCACTGACCACAGCTCCCTGAGACAAGGCTGCTAGCTGTTCCCTGGCTCAGCGCGGAAGCTCCCGTGTCTCCATGTTTATCCCAGGACCCCACACACAGGGAAGCCCCACAGAGGTGCCAATGGGAGTGACAGACCCGCTACACAAGGATCCACATTCCAGGGAACAAGACAGACAAGAGGCCACGGTATTTGCTAAGGTTCTGTTAAACAGCAGCTTCTCCGAGCAGCTGCTCTGATGTTGTGACTTCCGAAGACTCCCAACTGCTCTCTAGGTAGCTAAGGTGACCCTGCGCAGACTGAAATGCTCTATTCTACTAGACGCTTCAATACGAGAAGGCGCTAAGGCGCTGGGTTCGATGGCTGCAGTGGGAATTCTGATAACGGGGCCCAGGGCCTGCCAGTTAGGTTCCTGGGGAGCGGTTCTGGGGGGTTCAGAGGCATAAAAAACCACTCACTTGATACAAGGGGAATAGTTTACACGAGAGAATAATTAGGTTTGAACAACTGTTTATGAGTCAGATGGAATTCAGCATTAAATAAATTTTATTAAACTATTTTTAATCACCTGGAATTTAAGACTTCAATGTGCCACCCAGTGTACGCCGATACTTAAAAGTATACTGTTTCCTACCTACATTATAATCACACACTTACTTTCAAGGGACATCTTAGGATTTTCAAGCTTTTTTCTTAGAACAGAGTCAATGAGAACTCTCAGCTGCTTGAAAATGACGGCTATCTTTACAGGGGCCTGTTGGGAGGAAGTGATAAATTGGACAGAGTTAATCCTGGGAGTGTGAATGTGTTCACATAAATCAAGATAAGCACGTATACCTTCCGCTCTGCTCAGCACATCCTGACTAGCATAGAACATTATGGGAAAAACACAGGCAAACCACTTCCTGTGGCTAAACTATGCAAACTTCAGTTTCCTTGTTAAGTATCCATAAACTTGATGGAAATTTTAAAACAGCTTCACTGAGGCACAGTTTGCAAACCATCAAGGTTCACTCCGTTGAGTGTATTATTCCGTGATGTCGGGGAGCCCACCGCTGCGCCGCTGTCACCAGGGTCCCGCGGCAGGACATCCGCACCGCCTCGGCCTTGGCGAACACTGCACCCCCTTTCCAGGCTGCATTTACCATGTACTGGCCTCTCCGGTCTTAGACAAGCCGCTGCCTGGCACAGCACAGGAGAAGGTCGCTTAGTTTAAATGGGTCAGTGCTGATGGGGTCACGGAGAAATAACCTTATTGCTGGTAGCATTGGTAACCCTAGTTTTTCCAGAGAATGTGACAACACGCAGTGAAAGCCATGAACCTATCTCTTCATAGGGGGTGCAATGCAGCGGGAGGAGTGGGAGGCTGAGGGCCAGGCTCTGGTTTAAGTCTTCTCTACAGCACCATCGTGCCATGTGGGAGGTCCCTGACTTCTCCCTGAGCTCAGGTGCGGATCCTCAGGAAGGGAACTGGCAAGGCGAGGAGGCGTGCTCTCTGGGCGCAGCCACGTAAAGGCAACCAGTGAAGCGCACACCCAGCAACTGTAATCGTTACTGATGATAGGAGCAGTCTGTGACAGCAACAGAACCTGAGTTTCAAATTTAACAGATTTAAAACCAGACAGACAGGATAAAATAATCTTAAGTCAAATTATAGGAAAAAATGATGCAAATGCCAAAATTTAAAAACAAATCCACCTCAACGGCCCAGCGCGTTGGCGCAGGCGTACCTGGAAGCGGATCCAGCCGTCCACGGAGAGGAGCCGCTCGCGGTGCTGCACCTCGATGTCCCCGCCGAACAGCAGCACCGGGAAGGGGCTGATGAGCGTGGTCTCCCTCAGGTACACGCGGGCGTACCTGACCTGCACACGAGGGAGGAGGGAGCCGTCACAGCTCACACCAGCATCTATGCATCTGGTTCACATGAGCCCTTGTCTATAATGTGGGCACATTTTCAGTTATAAGTTTTGTGAAGCTGCATGTTTACATTCTCATGTGCATCCTTTGCCAACTGTATAGTAATCGCAATCACCCCTGTGCACTTAGCCCCTTAAAGACATTTTAACATTAACTGCAAGGCCGAGTTACAGGGCAGGCAAAAGTGGGTCTACAGCTGTGCGTACGCGAATCACAGGGCTTATTCTTGTTATTATTTATTACTTATCGTAGTGTTCTCCATTCAAACTGTAACCCTACCTTTGCTCCAGCCGTGTGCCTTGAATAAGTGCAACTATCAACCAGCAATTTTATAAGGCTAATGCTGTCAAACAATTAATAATGCAAAAATGAAATGATGATTAAGTTTCAATGTTCAGCTAATGCCATTGTTTTCCATTAAGGTCGATGATATGCTGGAAGTTGTTAAGCCAGTACTTGAAAATCTGGATCCTCGCTACTTGAACAAGCTTGGCTTCTGTCTTTATTTCACGTAGAAAAGATGATGATGATCATGTAGATCCTTAATGCTTTCTTTCATTAACGAATAAGAAATGAACAGCTCGAACAGCTTGACGTGAGAACCAAATGTCACACCCGTTGGGCACCCTCACTTGTTATGACTGACTTTCAGCATAGCGCCCTGCGTGCTGGCGTTCAGAACGAGCACCCACCTTCTCCTGGTACAGGAGCCACCCGTAGGTCTGCAGGTCCCGGTTCACGGAGGACGGGTGCACCTGCGCCTTGCCCTGGGCCGTCTCCACCACGCAGGCCAGCTTCTCGGTGACGTCCACGGACCTGGTGCAGAGGATCTTGCCCACGCTGTCCGAGAGCCCCGCGGCCAGCACCGCCTTCAGGAGGGCGACCTCTTGGAAGGAAAGGGTCTGGGTGGCCTTGCTTCCTTCCCAGCCGTTAGAGGTGGACGCCGAAAACCCTGCTGCCTTCACCAGCCTGATCAGCTCCTGCTTCACGTCCTAGATCAGTGTAGGTGGAAAAGAGACGCGATCAGACCTGATTAAAATAGAGACACTGCCAGATAACCTTGGAATTCACAGTCCTGTTTCCTATCAAAACTGGGAAGATGCGAGATGCTTTAGTTTACTGCAGCCCAGATTACATTAGAAAGATAAAAAGATCCTGGAAAGTCAAGGATCAATGAGTCATCTGTTACCACCACCCTGGGACCTGAGTCATAAAACACATGCATGTCCCCTTCACTAGTGATTTCCCTCCAATGCTCCCCCGTGAGGACGGTCACACAGAGAACAGGAGGGAGAAACCTAGAGGAGTCCGGACCCGAGACTGCAAAGGGCCTCTTCATTTGTCTCTGGGAACCTCACCTTCATTCCCTAAGAACTTCGACAAAGTTTATTGATGGCAACTTCATTTCATCTGCAGCTGTGACCTACCATCTTTTTCTACCTTTGATAGTCCAATCAGCTAAAATTCTACAGGAAGATGAGCACTTTTCAAAGCAAACAGGATACAAGTGATTAAAAGGTGACGTTTACATTGAGGATTTCCTTTTAGGTTTCCTGTTTGGGCCCAAGGGACTTTGCATCTAGGGAGGAAAGATCAACAGACAGCTGCGGTCCACGCAGCCCAGGTGGAGAAGAAAGGCTCTTGGAGGAAGGAGGCGGAGGCGTGGACGCAGACTCAGCAGTGCTGCGGGCTCCCGCACCGCGTCCCCAGCCTGGCTCGGAGGGGCTGTGGCTTCAGTTACCCCTTTCTCCGATCCGAGAAGGCTTCTTCCACGGAGGAAGTCCCTGCTATCACCCCTGAAGTGAGGTCATAAAAAGTGACTGCTCAGATTAATGGGAAGAAATGTTTTTCAACCGTTTACAGTACGAGCACAGAACAGAGGAACCAGGTGAGGCACACCCACAGGCTACTTTCAAGATACTTTTACGGCGATGGCACTAAACACCATTCCCCAAGGGCCAGGAACAAAAGGTAAGCGTGCGGAGCCCTGCCTGTCAGCATCACCTGTTTTTTCACTTTCACTGCACATGAGTCCTCTCTGTCCTCCCACACAGTCCAGCCTGAGCCTCTCTGCTGCTCTTTCCCAAGAGCAGACTGACACGCCTGCTCACAGCCAGGGCCCCGCACACGCTGCCCAGATGCCCTCCCATGGACAGCATCCCACACTGCAGCCAGGGAGCTGCTGACAGGCAGGGACATGTAAGAATTTCATTTCAAGGAGCCAGAGCTCTCAGGAAAGTGAATGCTTCCTAGCCCGGAGCATAAAATGCACGTCGTCCCCAAAACAAGGAAGCACAAAGTCTGCTTGGGCTGCGTGGCCAGGACTCGGGAAACCTGAAGGGGCGCCCTCTCACTGTCCGAAAAAGGGACAGTCTGATTAAAAAGCACCCACAGAGGCCCGGAGCACGGGAACCATGTAAGCCACCAGCTTCATGACCTCCATGAGAAGCAGCACTCCCTGATCACCAGGGGAAATGCTGGGAGCCGGCTCGTTACGGAAACTGCCAGGTGAGGGAGCAGCAAGCTTCACCCTCATGTCCCTGTACAAACGGTGCCTCAGGGCTTCCAGGAGTGGCTCAGGGGCAAGTGCCAGCTCTCTCCTAGGCATTTCTTCTGCCAAAACAAGCGGTCACTCAGCCACGCCCAGAGTTAGACCTGCGGGAGACTCACCTCCAGGGTGAGCAGGGACGTTCTGTTGAGAAAGTTCCTCCGGCAATAAGCCACTTCAGAGCGAGGGCCGCCTTCCTGCCGCGCTTTCTTCCACCTACACAACAAAACGACCAAGGGCACGTGTTTTCCTTGCAAACTCTCCTTCTCAGAGGTACTAATCAAAGCGTCTTTAAATCAGAATCATTTAAGAAGAGGAGGAGTCTTGCTTGTAGGAGCCACCAACTGTACTTAAGAATTTTGACCGCCCGGTTGCATGGCTCAGTGGTTAAGCCTTGACCTATGGACCAGAAGGTCACGGTTCAATTCCTGGTCAGGGCACATGCCCGGGTTGCAGGCACGATCCCCAGTGGGGGGCATGCAGGAGGCAGCCGATCAATGATTCTCATCATTGATGTTTCTATCTCTCTCTCCCTCTCCCTTCCTCTCTGAAATCAATAAAAATATATTAAAAAAAAATTTGACCAAAAGACATTGTTTTCTGTTTATGCATAACAATAAATTAATTTCAAATACAAGGTAATACACATATATTAATATGAAGTACATTGTTCTTAAATTTTTGAAAGGATTATAAAACTATGAATCTATAACATAACTAATTATACCTTGAAGGATGATATAACTAAAAATAAAACTTTAGAGATGGATTTAAATCCTTTTAATGAAAGGCTCAGGCAAATTTCTAGAAAGGAAATCGCCCAGGCTCGACAACACCCCGAGCAGCTTACCCTAGATACGCATTGTAGATGGTCAGGTGGTCGGAATTGGCCGTCGCCAACGCGGACTTCGCCAGGTCCGCTTCATCCTTCCTGCCGATGGGCGTGGTAAAGGGAGACTTCTCGGTCATGACTGCGGCGAGCGTGGCCTACAGAGAGCAGACCGGCGTCACAAAGGGAGGCCTCACAGCGGCCTGCGAAGGGGCACAGCTAACAGCCGCACTGCAAGTGCACGTGCCCTCTTTCCAGCACCCGCACGCCCTCCAATCCCACAGTCGCTGACACACGTTCATTTTAGCTGCTTTTGTTTCATTAGAAGGCATTAAAAAAAGTCACTGAACTTGTATGTAATCTCTGTGAGGCAGTATCACCAGAATCAGAGATAAAAGAAACGGAATGGTCGAGTGAGCTGTGGTCTGTCACAGTGAGAAGCAATCCCAGAATCACAGCTCAAACACCTCGACTTGAGCCTGCTGAGTGCCCCCTGCCTGCAACGCCCCTTAAATACAGGTGGGCAAAGCAGGTTGACAGCGGTTCCTATGGGAAACGGCACAATAATAAGTAACAACAAGAATAAACTCACAACCGTAAACCTACTTTTGCCCCGCCCTGTCCTTTGAGGATAACGGGGCTACAGGACAACCCGCTTGTTGCTGCAGCCCTCGGGTCGGCTATGGGCCCTCAGCACGATTCTGGTGAGTTCCCATCCCTGATCCTAGAGGAATGGGACGAGAGGAAGCCAGCTCCCTGTTCGGAGAGCAGCCTGGGTGTGCTGTCCAGGAGCGGCCCAGCGGAGAAAGCTGGAGAGCTGAAACTGCCCGGAGACAAAGGAGCCCAGAGTCCAACACAGGCACGAACCTGGTCAACTCAGGGGCAACTTGAGAACACAGAACTGTTGGCAATGCTGGTGCTAGGGTCACAGGCTGCACTTTAATCTACAAAGTGTGATGCCTGTGGCAGTGAAAGCACAGAGCCATAACCAGAAAGGGAAGGGAGACAGCTCCTGATTCTATGTAGGGAAGTTCAATGGGTCAGAACTCCCCAGAACTGTCGGACACAGTGGTTTTCACCTGGAGCACCGCATGGAGGTTTAAACGTTCTTAGGCACTGACCTTCCCCCACAGATGGTCCAATATAAACAGGACAACAGCCAACAACAGCCACGTGGGGGAATAAATCAAAACCCTACCCATCCTCCGTCAGGTCAGCACAGTACATTGGGTGCCGCAGGATTTAGTGATCACTCTGTATGTGCCAGGAGGTGAACAAGGCTGAGAACCACTGGTCTACGACAGATTCAATTAAATAAATACTTCCAGTGGGGTGTTTCACAGACAAAGTTTAGACAAGCCAAACCCATGTATAAAACAGTGCCTATAGCATGTGTAAGAGGATGGATAAGTATGTTTTCTTGTATGTAAGGTAAATATTAAAGTCTCATCAAGCCTGGTCAGTGTGGCTTAGCTGGTTGAGCATTGTCCCATGTACCAAGAGATCGGCGGCTCGATTCCCGGTCAGGGCACGGGCCTGGGTTTCGGGCTCCATCCCCAGGAGGGAATGTGCAGGAAGTAGTTGATCGATGACTCTCTCTCGTTGATGTTTCTATGTCTCTCTCCCTCCCCATCCCCCCCTCTAAAAATCAATAAAAACATATTTAAAAAATTATCATTAATCATTCAGACCTCCTGCATTTTAATGTCAGTACTGACATTCATAATTCAGTTAAAAATTATTCCCAAACTTCATGATTTCTCTGCCAAAATGATATTGAAAGTGAAGCAGCAGCGTCGTTTTTCTTACCACTGGGTCCAGGCAGCCGAATATGGCTCCGAAGATGAGCATCTTGCCAATCTTGACGTTCACGGGCAGAGCTGCGAGGTGCTGGCCCAAGGGAGTCAGTTTCGGCTCCGTCAGTTCACAAGCCCCAATTTTTCGGAGCAAGTTCATTGCGTTGCTGATGACTTGGAGCTGAGGAGGGTCTAAGGCTTTGGAGAGGAAATCTTCAGGAGAACCCAGATTGCACTTCTACAGATTGAAAACGAGCGACAGGGTTTACATGAGCCAAAGGTCAGACTGGAACTAACTGTGAGTTACGTGAAATTCTAAGAGAACAAATGCCTGAGTAAGGATACACTCCTCTTTTTTAATAACTGGCAGTGTGTGCGTGCGAGTTAACGGGTGGGCATGTGGAAGAGACCTTCCAGTCCATATTTTTAGTTTCTTCATTCCTGATTTTTATAGCAAAAAATTTAAGAACTAAAGGTATTACAGACCTTTCAGACTAGGAAGCCCTTGGTTTAGGTCAGGGTTTCTCAATGTCAGCCCTGTTGTTGTTCTGGGCCAGATCACTTCTGTTTTAGGGGCCTGTGCTGTGCACTGTAGGTTTAGCAGCATCGCTAACTTCTACCCACGAGATGCCCATAGCATGGCCTACTCTCCCCCGAGTCTGACAACCAAAAACGTCTGTGGACACAGCCAACTGTCCCCAGGTGAGAACGACTAGTGTAGGGTGTGAGGCTGTGTTTAATCCATATAGTACAAGGGCCTGTGGCAGAATTAAAGCACAGGGGCCTCTTTATGAAAAGGTGAGAGGGGGTTCATTTAAGCCAGTGGTTCTCAACCTTCTGGCCCTTTAAATACAGTTCCTCATGTTGTGACCCAACCATAAAATTATTTTCGTTGCTACTTCATTAACTGTAATGTTGCTACTGTTATGAATCGTAATGTAAATATCTGATATGCAGGATGGTCTTAGGCGCCCCGTGAAAGGGTCGCTCGACCCCAAAGGGGTCGCGACCCACAGGTTGAGAACCGCTGATTTAAGCAGAACATCTGGAGCAACACAAGGAAGATAAGTTTAGGTCTTCATTTCTTTTCTAGAAGGCGGTGAAGAGTAAAAAACGGATCTGCGTTCCTGAGGGATTACCATAATATGAAGACATAATTCCTCCAAAGGCACACGTAAGATTTCAGGGACGGAATACTCCATAAAGCCTTCAAACCTGAAAAATAAAACCACAGCCATCACTTCCCGTCACTGGCCACGCGCTGCCCCGACCTGCAAGTCTCCACCTCCAGGGCTGGGCCGCACGTACCTCTCTCGCGTGTACATCCGGAAGCAGAACCCGTCGCGCACCCGCCCGGCTCTGCCCTGGCGCTGCAGAGCGCTCGCCTTACTGACAAAGGTCTCCACCAAAGAGCTCATCTGGCTGCTCTCGTGGTACCTAAAGAAATGCGTGTGGTTGAGGAAATGTATGTGGATAATTGACTTAAGTAAAATCTGAAAAAGCCAAAATATTTGACTCTTAAAATTAAGTTGAAGATAGGCTAAAACATGTCCATTATCATTGTGGACCAATATTTTCCAACTTATGTTTCATATTTACACAATTTAACAAGCATCACATACTAAATCTCATACGACCTAATTAAAACTCGGCACAAGAGGAAACCCTGCTAATTTACCCTTTCCCAAATTAACCTGACCATGGAATACTTTCTCTTTTAGTGGAATGTCTATTAATTATGCACAAGAATTATTTGAAGTTTGAGAAATGAAATTGTGAACATAATTCACCTTACTTTTCACAAGATATAGTTAAACCCTGAAAATACTTCCTCTACAGCTTAAAAATCAAGGGCTCTCTCTCTCTCTTTTTAAATATATTTTTATTGATTTCAGAAAGGAAGGGAGAGGAAGAAATAGAAACATCAATGATGAGAGGGAATCGTTGATTGGCTGCCTCCTGCACGCCCCCCACTGGGGACCGAGCCTGTAACCCGGGCATGTGCCCTGACCGGAATTGAACCCAGGACCTTTGAGTCCACAGGCCGACGCTCTATACACTGAGCCAAACGGGCCAGGGCTCAAGGGCTCCCTTTGTGCTGGATAGTCACACCCTTTCCAAGCAGTGCCACAGCTCCTACCCGAGGGACAGTGTCTACAGGGTCCCAGGCTGCTGAGGGTCTCAAGTAGAGTCTGATGAAGAGTCAGCACAGGTTGCTTTTGTGCCACTCGCTGACCCAGGCGCTTTCAACCCTGAGATTGTCCTTCCCCACTCACACCTGAGGAAGCTGACGGTTACTACTGATGGTTACGTTACTGGCTCAGACTGTAGAGCAAAGATTTAAGTCTGTTATTCCAAAACCCAGGTTCTTTTTTATATTCCCACAGATAGTGCTTTCGTTTAACAATTTATTTTACAAACACACATTTACAAAAATGCATGTTCTGAAAATTTTCTAAAAGGAGCAGCCCACTGGCTACTTATGGGAAAACCCATGACATGAAGTTTGACATCGGCTCTCAGACATTTTAGTTTCCCCGTTTGCTTCGGCAGAATCAGGACATCTGGAACTACCCTCTATGATTCTGTGACTTCTGCTAAGAACTCAAGAGCCGCAAACTCTTTTCCGGTGAAAAGTGTTTGGCTTTGGGGAAGTCCAACTTACTTATTTTCTTTTGTTCTTCCAGTGTCGATGACAAACACCACATCTGGAATTGTGATGCCTGTCTCTGCAATATTTGTTGCTAAAACAATCTGAAAATAAATAAAAAGCCAAATATTTAGTAACAACTTCAGCAATGTGCTATAATGTAAACCACTTTAGAGTCTGAACGGATGAATTTAAAAAGGGAATTTCAACTTTATAAAAATTCACAATCTATTACTGTGTAATTTTAATTTGCTCTAATTATAATTAGTCTCACCACCTCAGTTTGATAATTAAGTTACACATTCTAATTCTTCAAAAGTCCCCTTCCCTTAATTCTAGCTAGTCCTCTGAGAAATGCCATGCGCCGAATGGGAAACTGGTCAGAGCAGCTGGGTGACCGAGGGCTCTCTAACGGGCTCTGAGAACTCCAGGGTCGACGGCTGCACTCCTGTTGAGGAGAAAGCGAGGCCCAGAGTGTTGCCAAAGGCCACAGACAGGGAGCAGTTCAGTGACCAGCCAGGCCCCGCACACAGAACCAGGCTCCTCCTGGAGCGCTGGGTCCCCACAGGCCCTACCCTGTGCTCCTTCCCCTGACGAGGGGTTCAACATCTGGAAAACTCCCTCTGCCGCATCTCTCAACATTCAGAGCCCCAACGAGACACAGTGAAAGTGCTGAGACTCCACCCAACCTAATGGTCTATGTATTATAAAAAAATCCGTGTGAATAGCCTAGAAAACAACCAAGAATTCTCCCTGGACTCCTAGAGCTCCTGACACCCAACATCCTTCATGATGCCTTCTTGGGGGGAAAGCAGTGATTTTCCTTCTCACAGGCAACACCCATGCCATATTATTCAACCACCATGCCTCCTACAAGTCCTGTCCCTTCAGTAACACATGATGTACACTGAGTGGCCGGATTATTATGACCGCCCCATCAGTACTTCATTGACACTTCCAAAAATACTGAATATTGAAAATTTCCTAAGCAAATACTCTCAAGGTTTTATTATCACTATTATTTTCATTGTTCTGATGGGGGGGTCATAATAATCTGGCCGCTCAGTGTAAATGTTCCAACACTCTAATTTTCATTGGGTTCACGTCTGCGTGGGTTCAGCCGCGGAGCCTGGAGTCTGCCGTGCACGGTCAGACTCCGAGGGAGGGCACACACACGTGCGGATTGGACTTTACCTTCCTGACTCCCGGAGGAGGGAGTGTGAACGCCGAGGCCTGGTCGTGGGTGGAAAGGATGGAGTGCAGAGCTATCACTTTATATCTGAAAGTGAAAATCACAGTTCTTAGCAGGAGCCTCTCTTTAGAAGACACTGCAAAGAATAACAACATTCACTTGCACATTGGAGGCAACTTTAACATTTTTACTATGAAAGGTTTTAGACACACACAAAAGTCTGGATAATGGTAAATGAAACCCATGTAGTCATCAGAGAGAAAACATTTACTAGGAATGAATGATGTGGAACACAGGGTTCCCAGGACTTTTAAGTGTCCTGATGTTCATGTGGAAAGCATGACGGCAGCAATACGTGTGTGTGGGCGAGGAAGTGCAACCCTGGTGGGGTGGGTCCTGCACACCCAGGCGGCTGGGGAGGGAGGCGGTCAGCATCCTATTCTTACCCACAGAACTCCCTCCGCTTAATCATATTAAATGTAGAAATTCTACCTAAAACTTTTTGTAGATGAAATACTGTAATAGTGATGTTACACAAAAACACACTTGCTTCCCATGGACAGCTTCAGCTCTGATCAGGAGTTTTACTGCATGGAACGTTTTTCTATTTTAAAACCACCAGGAACAGAGTAAAGATCTGCAGTTACCGTCCAGAAGAAAACCTCCTGTCAGCCGACAGCAGGTCGTACAGCTGCTGAATGTGGGCGAGGCCGGGCAAGAAGATGAGCACTGCTCCTTCCACATTCCTGAACTGGGGACTTCCGTCTGTGATTTTGAAAGATACAATATTCAAAAGAAGAAGAAAGATGAACAGCATGTAAGATATTAATGAAATGCCTCCATTAACAGAAGAAGTTTTATCAAAACAAATGGAGACCCCTGAGAAATCGGTTCGGACCTAAATACGCAAGAAGCTCCAAGACGAGGTCCAGGTTGATCTTGTGAGGGTTCATGTAGAGGAGCGCGTGCTGCGTGCGGCTGCTGTACTTCTGGTAAAAGGGACTTAAGCCAGCACCTGCTCCCGTCTGAACTGGGATGTATTCCTAAGAGGAACACAATCAGAAAAAGACGGACAAAATATTAAGTATTATTGTAAGACAAAGGAGGAGGAAGACTGGCATTTTTCTCATTACCGCCATTATAGTTTACACCCGCCTCATCCTTTCTAGATATTACTGTGGTTGCCGAGGTCCAGTCACCTCTTTTGAATACCTTTAATCTTCTGAGTCTTTAGTTTCTAATTTCTATCTGAAGCTTTAGGGAATGATTTTAGTTTTTCGCTTTCTTGGTTTATCTGCTTAATTGAGAGAGAAAGTAACTCTGTGCTTTCCTCAGACGGGTAATGTATGAAATATCATGGATACAATGAAAACATGGAGAACAGTACCACTGGCCAAAGGCAGGATAACTTAGCTCTGTGGCATTTCCAAAAACATGTTTGAAACTAGCTCTCCAGGGAGAACTGTGCTAGCCCTGGGCAGCTTCACTACAGAGCTCGCCCAGCTCACGCCAGGACACGGGCTGCCAGGAAACCGCCAGCCAGGACCCCGTCTGCCTCATCCTAACCACCTGGGGGGGTTCAGGGGAAGAAGAGAAAATCATTACATGTTTACTCCTCAGTAACGGATCAATGCTCTGAGATAAGAAGTTCCCTCTGACTTTTATGGTCCTTGATTTTTTCATGTGTTCCACTGTGGCCCATAACAGTGGAAGAAGACAAAATAACATAAACCAAAAACTAGACTCTATGAAACAAAGATGAAATAAATGGCCTTTAAAATTTGCTTTTAATCATTTCTGTTCCTCTTCTACCAAATTGTACTGGAATTCTCTGTGCCAGCATGATTTTAAAACTCTCCTGGCAGGTTATGTTCTAGATAGCATTATCAGATGTCTTTCAGAATGTTTTCTTTACCGGCCAGTGTGGCTCAATTGGTTGAGCACCCTCCCAAACAGCAAGAGGTTGTGAGCTCCATTCCTGGTCAGGGAATATACCGAGGTTGAGGGTTCGGTCTCCAGTTGGGGGCGCATATGAGAGGCAACCTATCAGTGTTTCTCTCTCTCTCTTTCTCTCCCTTCCTCTCTCTAAAATCAATAAATATATCCTCAGGTGAGGATTAAAAACAAAAAGTTTTCATTTTACCTGATATTTTTTTATTTCCCCTGCTTTGCTTGTAACATTAATGGTTATTTCTTCCTCCTCCTCCAGAAATTTCTGACAATATTCTGAGTCTTTCTCCAGTACAAAGCCTGTTTCTTCTATTATATCTTCAAGATGAAAAACCTGCAGAGATTAAAGCATATAAATGGTGAACTCAAATTCATTTCAGGAAAGATCATTTTAAAGAGAACAAGGGGATTGTTCTCTTTGAATATCACTAAATGCTAACTTAGAATTGTGCCGCCCAGCACAGCCAGGTTCAGTGAGCCTGAGAGGGGGGTGAAGGATTAAGAAAAGACAGACAAGAGAATGAAGCTGGGGCTGGGTGGGACGCTGCACTCTTCTGATGGAGAGACAGCGCTATGGCCTGCAAGCCGAGTCTTTATTTTATAGCCAGATTCCATGAGGCAAAGCAAGGTCGTGGTCAAGATGTTTACAACATTCTCGTGGGTTTCAAATCTACTCAATTACATGCACCTGATCAAGCTTTGTTTATTTGCTGCACCTCCTGTAGCCCATATCACCCAGTCACGTGGGACCACAGGTTTGGACCATAATCTGTCCAAACACGGTAGCCCAGAGGTTCTCAACCTTGGCTGCACATTAGAATCACCTGAGAATCTTTTTACAATCCTGATTTCTGGGCCTCAATCAGGATTTTAAAAAGATTCCTAGGTGATTCTAATGTGCGGCCAAGGTTGAGAACCACTGCTGTAGCCGCTCTCCACATCAAATATTATGAGAAACACTTTTTCTGTATTATTTGGGAATGAGGAACTTCGCTGGTAGCAACGCGTCTGTCCCCAGAAGTCTCAGGACAAGTTACAGGAGGTGTATACTTTCTGCACGTGAGCACGGATGAAGAACAGGCAGCAAGGAAGCTTCGAGCCCCCCTAAATCTGAGAGGTGGGTGAGGAGGGGCTCCTTACTGACCAGCAGCCACCTGGCTCTGCACGTGACGGTGGGGTCTGAGGTGTTTTGTCTGTTTCTCAGGTGTGTCTTCCAGCAGATCCTCCCGAGTCAGGGCAGCAGCCACCTGACCCCCCAGCCCCCCACCCCCCCGGCCCTCTAGACTTGCAGCACCTAGGAACTCCTCTGTCTCAGCCTCGGGCCCATCTGCTGGGTCCTCCCTGATGGGAACGAGGTTGCTGTTCACACACGCAGGCTGCAGGGGACTCACCTCCACAGGATAGCTTCGCCCTGAGATTCTGAGGATGGGGCAGTGAGTAAAGTAGGTGGAGAACTTCTCGCTGTCGACCGTGGCGCTCATGAGGATCAAGTGCAGGTCAGAGCGCTTCTGTAAAATCTCCTTCAGGATTACCAGTAAGAAGTCGGACTGGACGCTTCTTTCATGAACCTGGTAAAAAGGGAATAAAAACTAATCACATATAAGGCCTAGTAAGAGGCTAAATAAACCAGGCACTCAAGTTGAAAAGTTAACCAACACTGAAGTGCAGTCAGTACATGTGAGGGAGAGACGCTGTGTGTTGCAAGTCAGTCACTCGCTAACACCGGAGCCCGCGAAGGTCAGCACCGAGTGACCCTCAGCTGCGGCACGAAGACTCCAGCTTAGCGGATGGCCTGCAAGCCCGTGATGAGTTAGGGCATCTCCAAATTTCACTTAGAGGCAGGTGACTCCTGGAGTTCTGCCACTAACAGAACACTGTACTGTCGCCACCAACACAAGACACAGAGTCTGTCCACTTTCTAGAAAAAGGGGAGTCGGATTAGTAGGAATCTCACAGGGTCTCTATCAGCTGTCCAAGAAAAGATGTTTATGCCCTACCAACGGCTGTGTGACCCTGCACAGTTGTTTAACCTCTGCCTCGATTCCTGAATGGTAAAATAGGGAGAATACACCTACATTGGACAGCTGGAGGGTAAACGGATTTACATATGTGAAGTCCTTAGAACAGCATCCAGCACGCAAATGTTGTATTTACTAAATAAACCAACACAAGACATTTGTTAGAGAAAATTAAACAATTATATGTAAAGTGTCTGGCATTTATATACACAAGGAAAATGTTGGCTAGTATTAATTACAAATAGAATCTTTTTAATAAAAAATGTTTAGAATTTACATGATGACAGAACCTACTCACCTCATCTACAATCACGTGAGAGACACTGGTTAGGAGACCATCTTCTTGAAGCTTCCTGAGCAAAACACCTGTTGTACAGTAGAGCAGCCGGGTAGACTCACTGGCCCGAGATTCCATCCGGATCTGATATCCACACAAAGAATTCTGAAGGGAGCACACAGGCGAGTTAGTCTCACGGGACCTGCCTGGGAGCGCGGGCTAGACAGGGAGGCACAGGCTGACCTGCTCCTACGGAGCCTCCGAGTACATCAACTCAGTGCAGCTGGTTATCAAAATTGTTTTCCCCGGTCTTCAGGCTCAGACGACTGCGACATTGGTTTTGTTCATTTTAAACAAGCAAAACCTTTGTTGTTTTCAGTGTTGAGACAAAAAGCTGCTCTGCCTCGAGTACCATGATTATGATAATTTCTTATTAAATTATCTGGGAGCAAAGTATCGAGGCACGAAGGGACAGAAGCTAGAGCCGCCCGCCCATCCGGTCTGCTCTTCTGTCAGATTCCCGAAAAGCTGCGCCAGGAGGAGCAGCCCATCACACGGGGTGACCGAGGGGTCCTGCACTCACGTCTGTCCCCCCACTTTCTCCTCACTTCCTCAGACATCCCTGTTTTTTTTTTTTAATATATATTTTTTATTGATTTCAGAGAGGAAGGGAAAGGGAGAGAGATAGAAACATCAATGATGAGAGAGAATCATTGATTGGCTGCCTCCTGCACGCCCCCCGCTGGGGATCGAGCCTGCAACCTGGGCATGTGCCCTTGACTGGAATCGAACCCAGGACCCTTCAGTCCACAGGCTGACGCTCCATCCACTGAGCCAAACCAGGTGGGGCAGACATCCCTGTTTTATTTGAGTACTTGTCTGTCATTCCCTCGTGTAAGTTCCTTTTAAGACAAACTGTCTTTCCTCCTCTTACATTCCATGAGAGAAACCCAATCTGCTACATGGAAATGTTTCATGCAGGGGCGCCTATCGTAACGACAGAGATGGAAAGGTTAAATAGCATCTCTAGGAAGAACAATTCAAAGTAGAATTAAGCTGAGTTACGTGAACTTGGGGTTCATATTTGGTTCTAACCAGCTTTCCTGGCTCCTGTATTTAGCAGTCACTCTAGGTAGGGTTTGTCTGCTGGTGAGGCAAGATGCACAATAGATACTGAAGCACTTTTTCTTTTCTTTTTTTAAATTCAGGGTTTGAAAAGAGTCTAGAATTTTCTTCTACATTATTTTTCCCTTTTGCTCATTGGAAATAATTAAAGAAAACCATTCAGGAATCCATGCACAGAAAAGACCTGCAAACAGTTGAGATGTACGCTACTAGCGTCAAATTTGTATTTGTCTATAGTCTTTGAAAGTTCAATTTAGTATGCAACATATCTGAACATTTAATTGTTAAACGGAATATGTTTTCCTTCGATAGGAGAATTTTAACGACGGAATCGCTAATAATCCTCTTCACGTGAAGGAGAGTGGCAATGTCACATCCATCCAACGTGACAGGGCCTGAGGTGTGCCAGAGACCAACCTATAGCAGTCACCCTCAGCCGGAGCAGTTCCCCTGGGGTCCCCAGGGCAAAGGTGCGTCAGGAGCGTCACCGTTCACGAGGTGGCGGTGGGCAGCTTACCCTTCCTCCAGGTCCACTGTCGCAGCCCAGTTCGTCACACACTCTGGTGGCTAAGCTCACTGCGGAGATGCGGCGGGGCTGGGTGCAGACAATGTTGCACTTCCTGGTCCCCGGCTCGTGGAGAAGCAGGTCCTCCAGAAGGAAATGCGGCACCTGAGTGCTCTTGCCGCTCCCCGTGTCCCCGGCCACCACCACCACCCGGTGCCTCTTCAGGGTCTCCACGATCGCGCTCCTGTGCTTGAACACGGGCAGCTGCTGCCTCTCCCTCAGAAGGCCCTGGTACTTCGGTGTGCTCTGAAACTTCCTAAAGAGGTTCCTAGCAGGTTCCAAATCTTCTGCCTTTTCTGACTCCAAGGACAATGCAGAAAAATCCTCGTCAGAAACTAAATTTTCCCAGGATTCCTCAGCGTCTTCAGAGCTCTCTCTCTTATCCTCGGAATGCTCCTGCTGCTGCTGCAGCTGCAGCTGCTGCTTCACTTTATTCAGAAGTTTGGCGATAAAAAGGTCCCGGGGCTTGTTGGTCTCCATTTTATTTAACTCCTCCTTTTTCTTTTCTGCATCGCTCCATTCTAGCCAGACCGCTCGGTAGGTTGGAGGAAGTAACTGGTGAACTGACTGTAAGAAGAAACAGCAGCATTACTTTCACTAACGATGGCTACCAGAACCCAATCGGTTAGGACGTAGGACAGCTACCTTCCCCCTAACATGTAATTTGTCTCTTACACTAGTTACTACTTTAATGTAAAATGCACATGCATATGATGCAAATGAATAAACAGCATGTAGTCAAGCTTCTAAACTTACTAGCAGTGTGACCTCGGGCAAATGGCCTAACCTTGCTGTGTCTGTTTCTCTGTCAGTAAGTGGGCACACCCCGAGGTAAACTTCAGTTAACACGTTGGGCGCCCAGCCTGTTTTGTCTTCTGGACGGAACGATAGTGTCAGTCTCCGGTGACTGACTGGGCGCTAACGTGTTAATACATGTAAAGTGCTTATTCCTGGAACACAATAAGCTACTGATCAGATGTGTCTTACTTATCCTGAGAGCTGCTACAGAAACACACAGGTGACCAATAACGCATTTCTAACAGCCCCGCGAGACGCCGCAGCGTATGACACCACAGGTGGAAGCCCTTTAAGTGAACCACAGGTGGGCTCTGCGTTACCCCAACACTGTGCTACCAGGAGCTCACAGTCGTCTCTACAACACGGACACTCGCTTCTATCAATTACCCTGACCTCGTGGAACCTTATTTTGCAAAGTAAGGGAAATAAAAGCATTAAGAACGTTACTGACAAAATGGAAAGAACTACTGTTCGGAGTTCCGCTTACTCCGTGTCTGAATTTTCAGTGGCTCTAATCTCCCATGAAGAAAGGTATACACACCTATTAGAACAGGAAATGGGGACAGTCCCCCGAGAGCTCAGAGGCACTTCCTTCAGTACCACTTCATTCTCACCCTTCCTTAGACTGCAGCGTAAACTTGGTAGAAACCAATGTCTATAATACGTTCAAGTTGAGAGACGATGTAACACTAAAGAGAAACTCTTTAACAATTCTTAATTCACCCCCTAGCACAATGACTTTTATTCTGTAAATTAGCTTGGCTTGAACATCTGGGTCAATCAAATGTCTCAGAGTCTCTGGTCTAGAAGAGAAAGACCAAGCTATGTATGTTTAAGGGTGAGAGAAAGTAAAAATTATGAATAAGCAGAAGTGAGGATGAGTCAGAAGCAGCAGTCAGTAAAGAGAAAACTGGCCCAGAGGCCAAAATCCAACACGCACTGCCGTGCACACGCAGACATGGTTTTCTGTAGACAAATTCCGGCACGGCCGTCCCGCTCACCTGCCCTTTCACCAGGCGGTAAAGAGCCAAGGTGGCCCCCAGGTGCTGAGCTTGCATGCCATCCTCCGTCAGGATCGTAGGGCAAACCACCAGCACGTCGTCTTCAGACCTGATCACCCGCACCCTGCAAAGAAGCCAAAGAAATCCCCACAGAGCTGACAAAGTAGAAACAGTCAGAGCTCCATTCACCTGCACTCCAGTTTACACTAACGGTTTAAATTTCACATTTCCGCAGACTGTACTTGAGACTGATAAGCACCGTCAAGCTGAGCTTGGAATCAGAGAGCTGCTTAAATGTCGACTCAACTCCTAAGAAACAAAAATGACTTTCATCTTCAGTTCTTCTAACGTTCGTTCAGGAACCAAAACACACACCTGCATTTCCAGTACCGACCGACGGGAACTTTCTCGAAGGCAGGGTTCGGGCTCTTGGGCAGGTTCTTCCGGACCCAGTCGATGAGGAACTGTTTGGGCGACTTTCCCGTCCAGCTCCGAGCAGTGTAGTCAAAATTCCTCACATCCTGAGCTGCTTTCTTTTTCTCTGAAATGACAAAGATTGGTTTGTAAAGCAACGACACAGTGTGGGCAAAGCAGCTGTACAGTGGTTCCTACGAGAAAGAGATGGTTATGATTCTTACGACCGATTCATTAACTCTGTGTCTCGAGTACCCACGACCATAACCCTACTTTTGCTCCACCCTGTATACAATCTTGAGTGATCAAGGTCCCCTCACCTTTGGAAACAGACTTTCAGAAGTAAACAGGTGAAGAAAGGACACAGAGAAAGGCTGTACGGAAACCTGCTGATGGAGAGAATGAATGAAATCTGACTTGTTAAAAAAAACTACCGAGTAACTTATTCATTCTTGTACTCTCCCTGTGATGAATTTTTTAGGGTATCTGAATTCCAATGTTTGGTACACTACCACACAGGAAGTATCATCTTTTGAAAAAATAGAAATCAGATGTCATTTCTCTGCTTAACAGCTGCCACCAACGCCCTCCATGGCTTCACGCCGCGAATAAAATAAAGTGCACGTTGTTCACACTCCCCCAAGCCCTCCGTGGTCTGCCGACAGCAGCTCACATGCTGCCGTCAAGTCCGCAGATGCTCTAAGCCCGCCGGGCCCATCAGCGGCCACAGGCGGCCGAGTTTAAATGAACTAAAACGTAAAAGTTCAGTTTCTCGGTTGTGCCAGTCACTTTCAAAGACTCACCCCTCATGTTTGGCCAGCAGCACCCGCCCTGAGAGCGCAGACACCGAACGTCCCCAGCACAGAGTGTTCTGCTGAGCAGGGCGGCGCCTAGCTCCCCTCCACCCGCTTCCCAGGTGCCAGGTCTCAGGGCGAGGGCTCCTCATCCAAACCAGGCCCCTCGCCCCCACCATCGTCAGAGGCCGGCTTCCTTTCGGTGACAGCTCACATCCCCACTTGCAGTTACCTCCTCGCTCAGGCATTTAAAGCTTCCCTCCCCCAGAGACTGGACACCTGAGGAGGGCAGAAAGTAATTATTCTTTATTTTTATATATTTTATGGATTTCAGAGAGGAAGGGAGGGAGAGAGAAACATCAATGATGAGAGAATCACGGATCAGCTGCCTCCTGCACGCCCCACACTGGGGAGCGAGCCTGCAACCCAGGCATGTGCCCTGACTGGGAATGAACCCTCACCTCCTGATTCACAGGTCGACGCTCAACCACTCAGCCACACCGGCTGGGCAAGACTAGTTATTTTGTTAACAACTGTCCAGATAGAACCTGACATTGTCAACAATAAGGACTCAGTAAATATGTGTGGAAAGAGTATATACTTAAAAGAACTGAGAATGTAGAGGGGCACGACTGACTATATTACAGACTGATAAATAGAAGACTGGCTCTCTCAGCAACTTACCAGGCCCTCAGAAGCACACGGTGCGCACGCCTGGGGACAGGGCTGGAATCAGGGAAGGTTGAGAGAAGAGGTTTGAGTTGAGCTGTTTGAGTTAAGCTGTGAAGCGAGGGAAAGGTTGGCAAAGTAGGGGCTGTAGGATGAGCAAAGCCGCGGAGCCGGCAACGTGTGTTTTTTTAAAAATATGTTTTATTGGTTTTTTACAGAGAGGAAGGGAGAGGGATAGAGAGTTAGAAACATGGATGAGAGAGAAACATCGATCAGCTGCCTCCTGCACACTCCCTACTGGGGATGTGCCCGCAACCAAGGTACATGCCCTTGACCGGAATCGAACCCGGGACCCTTGAGTCCGCAGGCCGATGCTCTATCCACTGAGCCAAACCGGTTAGGGCAACGTGTGTTCTTAAGAAGGACGTGGCTGTACGTGGCCTGACGTGGAAGGAGACTGTGGCAGATGGCAAAGGGGTTTCAATGACATGAGAAAGGGTTTGCACTTGCCACTGACGAAAGGTTTTCAAGAGGATCCCACTTAGCTCTGTGTGATGGGGAGAGAATTCTGCAGGAGTTTGGAAGATAAACTGGAGAGGGATGAGGCTGAAGCAAATATTTCTAATTACAAAATGCTACACAAGTAAGTTATCAAAATCATTGTAATTTCTTTTTCTTTTTCAATCCTCACCCTAGGAATGAGGATATTTTTTCCATTGATTTTTAGAGAGTCAAAGGGAGGGGGAGGAGAGAGAGAGAGAGAGACATCGATAGGTTGCCTCCCATTCTCGCCCCGACCGGGGCCAGGGATTGAACCTGTAACCTTGACCAGGAATCAAACCCGAGATTCTTGGGTCCATGGGCTGGCGTTCTAACCACTGAGCAAAGGCCAGGCAGTAACGGAATTTCTTAGTTGTGTATTCCCTGACATTTTACTAGTTAGAAATACACCCAGCACGCCTTCTCTTCCTTTTACCTTTCTCTTCTTCAGTAGCAGCTGTAGACTTTTCAAATAAATTCAAGTTCAAAGCACTTTCCCCTTCTGTGGCTACAGGAGGCTTTTTCCTTTCATTCTGTTGAGGTGAAATCTTTATGGCTGGATTGAATACTGGATGGTCTTCTAGAGTTTCCATTTCTACCAAGAAAACACATGCTGCTCAGTTCCATGATTTGTTTCTTATGCCCTTCTACTGTGCAAGATGGTTTACAAAACCCTCTTTGTCCCTGTAGCCAACTGCTCAGCACTTCCTACTAGGAACTGCTAACATTTTTAAAATAAGCTGTTTAACAGATGTAGGAGCCTGGGGAAATTTGCATTAGAAACAAGCGCTGGTGGAAGTGTATGCACCCTCCTTGAGTGGAGGTGGCGTTCTAGGCACGGTACATCATTCACAAATGGTGGCTGCAGGCCACATCCAGCCTGTCGGCCCTGAGCTGAGAAGAATTTTATATATAATTACACATATATATGTATATATTTTAAATGTATTTTTATTGATTTCAGAGAGGAAGGGAGAGGGAGAGAGATAGAAACATCAATGATGAGAGAGAGTCATGGATCGGCTGCCTCCTGCACGCCCCCTACTGGGGATCGAGCCCACAATCAGGGCATGTGCCCTTGACCGGAATCAAACCTGGGACCCTTCAGTCCACAGGCCGACGCTCTAGCCACTGAGCCAAACTGGCCAGGGAGATTTTTATATTTTTAACGGGATGAAAAGATAAAGAGAAGATGTATTTGGTGACGTGAAAACTGTATGAAATTCATGTTTCAGTGTCTGTGTGTGAAGTTTTATAGGAACACAGTGATTTGCTCGTGTCCTGTCCCTCCTTGGCTTGGGTAGCAAAGAGCAGACATCGGAAGAGGAAGCCGCCTCCGCCCAGCAAGGCCAGTAATGCACAGACATTTACACATCGAAGAACTTAAGAGTGTTTACCTCTTTGGAATTTCCTTATTTTTTCTTGCGCTTCCTTTTGCCCTTGCTTGTTTTTTTCCAGTTTACAGGCAGCTGCTTGCTCCTTCGCATCCAGAAGTTTTGCTGCCAGGTGTAAGTACCTTTCATTCTGCTCCGAGCAGGTGAGGAGCAGAAAGTAAAGAGAAGAGCAGGATCACTTATCTCCGGTCAGTTGGCTACAGAAAGACCTGTCAGCTGGGCCCTGGCCGGTGTGGCTCAGTGGTTAGAATGTTGGCCCCTGGAGTGAAGGGTTTTGGGTTTGATTTGGACAAGGGCACCTACCCAGTTTGTAGGTTTGACCCCTGGGCCCCAGTCGGGGTGCGTGCGGGAGGCAACCAATCAATGTATCTCTCTCACATTGAAGTTTCTGTCTCTTCCCCACTCTGTCACTCTCTCTAAAAAAATTAATGGAAAAAAAATTATCCTTGGGTGAGGATTAACAAAAAACAACAACAAAAAACCCTGTCATCTTTGATATTACTCTTCGATCCAGCAAATCTACTTTCAGGAATTTTTCATAGAGAAATAATACAAATGTGCAGACTTGCAGGTACACAGATGTTTACTGTGGTACTGACTGAAAAGGGAATTAGAAATCAAGTGTGGCCCCAGCCGGTTTGGCTCATTGATAGAGCATTGGCCTGTGGACTGAAAGGTCCCTGGTTCAATTTCGGTCAGGGGCACATGCCCGGGTTGCGGGCTTGATCCTCAGTGGGGGGCGTGCGGGAGGCAGCTGATCAATGATTCTCTCTCATCCATCTCTCTCCCTTCCTCTTGAAAATCAATAAACAAAAAACAACAACAACAAAAAAAGAAAGAAATCAAGTGTGGCAGCGGGAGGAAAATCCAGTCAGCATTAGGAGAAGCGGGGCAGCTAGAGAGCGAGGGTGATCCACAGACACTCCCTGACATCTTCAACAAAGCAAACTTAGGAAACACGTTTCTCTAAAGAAATGTTCATCTTACACATTTTATAAATGCCCATATTTAAAGGCTGCAAGTGCAGTCGTAGACGATTCATCTGAAAGCTGCCGTCCCATAACTTCTAGCTTACAGAAGGAGGCGCACTGAGAAAAGGCCTCTGGGAAATGGACGTCATAACCCTGAGGGACTTAACTCTGCTGAGCAGAAGGTGCCAGGGCTTAACTTTAGACTCAGATTCCGTAGGTGAGTTCATGACAGCAGGTGAGAAGCAGCCGCGCACGGGGTGGGGGAGGTGAGGGCACAGGCGTGCTGCTGGGAGAGGCCACTGAGGAAGCGCAGTCCTGGACTCTGGGGCAGGTTCGTGTGGAAGCAAACAGCGACGCGGTGGACAGGCGGCAGGGTCACCGAGCTCCTCAAATGCACCCACCTCACACTCCTTCCTGCACCTGTGGCACTGATACACCAGCCCGCGCCTACGACTCTCTTGCTTTCTTGGGCTCCTTGGCCTTTATATTCAGTAAATCAATTTCTACTGATTCTAGCTTTAAATGTTTCTTCTCCTTCCCAATTTCCAATTTGGGACCTTATTGTTTCACACCTGACCAAGCAAAAGCGACCAAATGGCCTTCCTAGCCCTTCCATCACCTGAAACTCTACTGAATATTCCAAACCACCTGAAACGCTACTAAATTTGACGGACAATGTTAAATTCTTCTTGTCACGCCCCCAAACCTCTAGTGGCTCTTCACAATCAACAGGAAAAGTTGTCACATTCATTTTCTGGGCATCAAAATCTTCTAGTTGCAGCGGAACTCATCTGTTGACTCCTATCTGCCAGTACGCAACTACACACTTACCCTCTCTTATGCTCATCTACTTCTCCACACCCAGGCCCCTGGCACAATCCACTCTGTGCCTGGCCACGCTGCTCCACTCATGGAGGCCGCCTTCCCGCCTCTGTTGCTCATGTACACTGCACCCTTCAGGCCCCACTCTCTTCTCTGAAGTGGACCTAATGCTCCAATCACAAGAGGCCTTTCTCTGAACCTCACACAGACTTGTACATCGGAAATGCTTTTTGTTTAGTTTAACAACAGGCACATGGTTCTAAACCTTACAGGTCCAGAGAGTATAAAAAAGAAGTCTCCTTTTCGCCCTGCCACCCCAGGCCTAACACCAGTAAGGGCTTCTTGTGTGTCTTCCAGAGGGTCTCTGCACAGAAGAATGCAAACACACGCACTTCCCGTGTCACACAGCGGGCTCATCATGACATGTGCTGTCGTGCAACTCCTCCTTTCTAAGCCAACTGTGTTAAGGTCTGATTTACTTACAATAAAAGGCATCCATTTTGAAGCGTCTAGGATGAGGCGTGCAGCCGTGTAGGCACCATCACAATCAAGATATAAAATACTTCCACTGTCCCCAAAGTTTCCTCCTGAGCCTACAGTCCACCTCCTCAGCCCACCGGACTCAGGCGACCACTGACCTGCTCTCTGTCACCACAGAGACTGCCCAGGTGACCTCTCTGGTACTGAATGTAATAAAAGTACTTAGTAAGGACTCATTTCTGTCTGGCTTCTCTCATTCTTGTATGTTTTGAGAGTTGCTCGCAGTGTTTGGCTATTATGAATAAAGCTGCTATAAACATTTATTTGTGTACAAGTCTTTTTTGGTGGGCATATGTTTTCATTTTTCTTGAATAAATAACTACCTGGGAATGAAACTGTTGGACCATATGGTACATATATGTCTAACTTTGTAAGGAAGTGCCAGTTTTCTTAAGTGGAAGTCTAGAAGTCTTTCCAGGTAGAAATCTAATACAAATTTCTACTCACAGGGTCAAATTTTTCCTCCTCTTCTAAACTTTTAGAATTTTCACTCTTTTCTTCTTCATTTTGTTGTTCAGCATACCGCAAAATCCATTCTTTCATATTCACTTCCATATTTTTTTCTTCCTTTTTTGGCTAGAAATAAAAAACAAATATCTGAAAAATCAAAGTTAGAAAAAGGTGTCAAGACTATCATCAAGTGACATTGCTTTTACAATTTCTTTACACTCAAAAACAGTGGACGCAGAGCCTCAAAAATCACGCTCTTCAAGGACAAATAATGGAACTCAACATTACTTTAAGAAAAGTCTAAACTTGTATAATCCAAAGAATATGTTTACATAAAGGGCAAAAAAAATGAAAGGACAGTTAAAAACTAAAAAACTAGTGTTACTCATTAAAAACAGTGGTTTTATGAGGATAGTGCTTCCATTTATTTGTTTGTTTTTAAGCTTTTTCAAGTTATAATTGATATGTAAAAAGTGCATATATTTAATGTAATGCATACATAATGTGCATATCAATTCATCATGTTGATGAGTTTGGACATATGCATACATCCATGATACCACCACTAACATCAAGTACTAAACATACCCATCACCTACCCAGATTTCCTTCTGTTCTTGTGTGTGTGCCTGGGCGGAAGCGAGGGTGGTGTGGTCGTAAGAACACTGACCCTGAGATCCATCCCCTTAACATATTCAGAGGCACAGGGCTGCACAGCGTGTCTCCAGAACTTACTTGCATAACTGAAAGTGTATCACCACTAAGCAGCGGCTGCCCTTTCCCCTCCTCCAGCCCCAGTGACCACCATGGACTCTCTGCTGCTATGAGTCCATTTTAGATTCCTCTGGAAGTGAAATCGGGCAGTCTGTCTCTCTGTGACCGGCTTATTTTCCTTAGCATGTTCGCGGGTTCACCCAGGCTCCCAGATGTTTGACACTGTGCAGCATATTCAAGTGTGATGCCCTAATGAACTATGCCTTCCAGTAATCACGCTTTTTAAAAATATATATATATTTTTATTGATTTAAGAGAGGAAAGGAGAGGGAGAGAGAGCTAGAAGCATCAATGATGAGAGAGAATCATTGACTGGCTGCCTCCTGCACGCCCCCTACTGGGGATGTCAGTTGCTTGGAGGAGTGGACATTAGCAAGAGTGTGACAAGCAGGGGCTCGATGAGATTGTATATAGGGCTTCTCGCCTTGAAATACTTGTTCCTAGAAGCCCTGTTTGTGAGGAAAGCTGAGCTAGTCCTGGCTCGCCCCGGGAGAGGCACTGGTCACATGACTAAGGGAACATTTTGGACATTCTAGCCGCAGGAGATACCTCGTGGAACCAAAGACCTAACTGAGCCCAGCCCAGACTACAGGCGGGAGGAAGAATACACTGCTGGCTTATGCACCACATTTTGGTTGTTAGGCAGCAACTGAAACAGACAATGACAGAAAAGCTTGGCAAACCAGTCAGTTACGCACAATAAGTGGAAGTACTATGGCAACGGAATACTAATCCTCTAATGAACTGCTGTATCTGCTTCATTCTGACTTTATTCAACTTCAAGTGTTTAATTCTTACATTACCTTCACCTTAGGCTCCTCTTCCTGTTTTCTGGTTTTAGGCTGCAATGGAGGTGAAACCGTAGCTGGTACTGGAGGAGCCTGGAACTTGGGCCTACTCTTAGGCTGCTGCTCTTCAAATTCCTGACTGAATCCCTCAGGAAGTGCATCTTAGGAGAAATTGAGATGAAAATAAGCATGCATATGATAATGAATCACACCAATATTTAGTACACACACACAATACTCCGTCGAGACAAAAGCACCTGATTTTCGCACCCCTCATCTCCTAAGACTAGAAGTCCTATGATGAACATCGTTTATTGCCACACCAGAAGTGGGGACATTCATCAGATGACAACTAGCCCACCTACGTGGCCGTTCATTTCACCCTTGAATTGGCAGCTCCTGAATTTTCATAAAAAGACTAGAGGCTCGGTGCATGAAATTCATGCACAGGGGGCAGGGGGTGGGTGTTCCCTCAGCCTGGCCTGCACCCTCTCAAATCTGGGACCCCTTGGGGGATGTCCAACTGCCTCTCGCAATCCGGGACCGCTAGCTCCTAACCGCTCGCCTGCCTGCCTGATCGCCCCTAACTGCTCCCCGGCTGGCCTGATCTCCCCTAACCGCCTCTGCCTTGCCTCACACCTGGGACCCAGGCTTCCCTCTCTCTGGCCAGCCGCTGGCACCCAAGACCCGGGCCGGCCGCAGCCACAGGGGACCATGGGCGGGCGGCTTTGCCCAGGCCGCAGCCGCAGGTGCCTAGGACTGTGGAGTGGGCAGCTTGTCCCTCTCCTGGACTGCAGGCGCTGGCGCCTGGGACCATGGGGCGGGCAGATTGTCCCTCTCCCGGGCCGCAGCCTGGCTAGTCCCCATTCCTCTCTCACAAGCTCATTTGTGCCTACCTGGTCCCCATTCCTCCCTCGTGAGCTCATTTGTGTCTGGCTGGTCCCCATTCCTGTCTCCCCAGTGTTGAGTGTCTGAGCCGTGATGGCATGATGGTGTGAGGGTGTGACAACCATTTGCATATTGGCTCTTTATTATATAGGATCTTAACCATTTTCACCCCTTGGTTGCTTGTTGTAGCATATAGCAGTATCCTTCATGAGTCATATAAGTAATGTGCACTCCAGGTTCTCCCCAAAGGTTAAACCTTAACCCTCTCCTTAACCAAATATTACTTATCCAAGGCCAGATGGCCCTAATTTCTGAACCAAAGCCAGGAGACCCAAAACCCAATAGGTCACAGACAGGCACACTTGGAAAATTTGTTGTATTAAGTGCATTGTAGCATGGCTATCAACAATACACACAAAAGTAATTTCTTCCTGCACAGACTACACCTCTAAGGAGAATATATCAAAAAGAATTAAAAAAGAGTAAGACCATTTTAACAATAAGTAATTATAACACAGTGAAAAACTTCTGATACAAGCCAAAAGCTTGATGCAAATATCATAGATACTGAAAGTACTTCCAAGGTTTTAGAAACAGGAAGAGTTTTATGACTGTCTGCTTACCATCGGGAAGGTTTAAGCAGAGCCAGTCCAGGGCCGAGTGCAGATCCCCTCCGTGTAACAGGGTGTTGGTCATGGCATCCTCAATGTCCTTCGTCTTAAAGGAAAATGCTTGCAGAGCCATGTATAAGTCCTACAAAAGGGAATGCAAAACTGTCACCGTGGCAATTTTCTTTCATTACTAATTTTATTTTCCTGTTCATTTTTATTTTTTTAAAATGTGTTCTATTGATTTTTAGAGAAAGAGGAAGGGAGAGATAGAAATAGTGAGACCAAGCCCACAACCTGGGCATGTGCCCTCACAGGATATTGAACCAGCAACTTCTTGGTTCCTGGGCCGATGCTCAACATCAGAGCCACACCTGCCGGGCTCTCACATTCATTTTAACCTAAATCTTTGACACAAATTATAATTTCAAACACTTTTTCTTTTCTTTTCAATGATAAGAATTAAATGTGCTCACTGTATTGAGAATTTGAGAACTACAAATTTTAAAAGGGCTAGAGAAATTGCTCATATTCTCATTTTCTAAAGACCAGAGGCCTGGTGCATAAAATTCATGCACTGGAGGGTGTCCCTCAGCTCAGCCTGCACCCTCACCAATCTGGGACCCCTCAGGGGTGTCCGACTGCCGGTTTAGATTGGACCTAAACTGGCAGTTGCCTAGCGCTGCTGGGGAGGTGGGAGAAGCTCCCACCACTGCTGCTGTGCTTGCCAGCCATGAGCCTGGCTTCTGGCTGAGCGGTGCTCCCCGTGGGAGCGCACTGACCACTAGGGGGCAGCTCCTTCATTGAGCATCTGCCCCTGGTGGTCAGTGTGCATCATAGCAACCGGTGTCCTGCCATTTGGTCAATTTGCATATTAGACTTTTATTACATAGGATACTTCTTGCAATAAGTTTCCTTTCAGTCATGTTTCTATTATTTGTAAAAACAAATTTCACTTAACATTATAACATAAGCATCTTCCCCCGTCAGCAGAAACTCTTCACCACTTTTAATTACACAACATTCCACTGGGAAGACGTGCCCTAATCTGATTATGCGCTTTCCCATCGGTGATCAGTTAGGATGCTCTCGTTCTCCCGAGGCCGTGCGCTGGTGAACATGTTCACATGTGAAGGAAAGCATCTTCATGTCCTTCGAGAGCATAACCTTCACAGCTGGACAGACCTGGGTTCCCACCCAGATGCTGCTTGCCTGCTACTTACTAATTCACCGCAGGCCCTAACTTGTGCCAGCTTTCCACGCTCCACTTCTTCACTGGAAATGGGCAACAGATCTTCTGGGATTGCAGAAAGTGTAAGGAAAGTGCCCACAGGATGTAATATATAACTCTGAGAGTTCTCATATCATCATTTTAATGTGCACATCTGTATCTCACACCGTTCTTTCCCTGCTCTTAGAGGTAGAAATGATGTATATGAAATCTCCATGGAAATGGAAAAAGTAATTTTACCTTGTATGTGATGCTGTCTTAAAAATGCTTCACTAAAAATAAAGAACTTAAAAAAAGTTTGCCTGTAAAAATACCTGTAATTTTTTGGCAGTAAGTCTTCCAGAAATCACTCCCTTGCCATTATTTTGCTTTTTATGCTCATTGATCACTCCAATAATTCTTTGTTCTAGTTTGTTATTAATCACCACCTGTTGATGCCAAGAGATCATATTAATTAGAAGCTAAATTATGAAATCACATTTAGTAACTAAATAATCTGAAGCATATCACAGTTTTCTATATTCCTGCCAACCAAGGCCAAACTTCCAGCTAAAATCAGATACAGTGATTATTATATTTCAGACTACCATTCACCAGATGACATTCCTGTCATACATTGAAGAAAAAAAGGGATATGGAAAAAGCAACATTGTCCTTGGACCTCCCTGGGACTCTATTCCTCAGACAGATTCCTCACCGTCTTCAACACGCTCAATCAGCGTCCTTGGGTGGAGCCCAGGACTCTGCCTTAATGCAAACCAGCCCAACCACAGCCCGAAGGAATAGAGGCCACACTAAAACGGGGGGAGGCACAGCCGTAACAGTCAAATCTGTATGATGGTAATTTGGTCACAAATTCTTTTGGCTGCTGGAGTTTGATTCCTATGTTTTCCTTTTAGCCATGTAATCCTTTGTTGCGTCCCTATTTTTAACCTAAGAGTACACACGCATCTACCTACAAAAACCCCTCCCCTTTATGACATCTTTACTGAATGCCTACTACGAGTTAAGCACAAAACTATGCTTCAGGAATCCAGTATAGCACAGGAAACATACATAAAGAGAAGCTGTGACCCAGCACGGCAATCATTAAAAAAGACATGTGGAGTGCTGAGAAAACCACCAAGAAAGTCAACCGGGTGCCTTAGAAAGGGCTTCACCAAGGTCACAGACGTGACAAATGCACTGTAGGCAGAGCCCACGGGCAAAAGCCTGCAGTTCAAAACCATGTGGGATTTGGGGGAACATGAGATGTGAACTAATGTTTGCAGTGAAGAAGAGGGAAAAGGTACACTCAGCCAGGTTGGAAAGGATATGCTATGCTTAGGAGTTTGCACTCATCCACCCTTGTTTAATTTCTTACTGGCTTTCAACACACGTGTATGATTTACTTTATTTAGTATAGATAGCAGCTAGTGTACTATTTATAAAAATTTAAAATATCCATCTTTTCCTCCTACTTAAGAATATATACACACACACGCACACACACACACACACACACAGTGGGTCCTTGACTTACGAGTTTAATTCGTTCCGTAATGGAGCTCGTAACTCAAATTACTCGTATGTCAAATCAAAAGTGAACGAGTGAGACACGTGATGCTGGGCTGATGTTGTGGCGTTCACTGTGACATTCGCTGCGCCAACTAGCGGTGGGGTATCTGAAGCTGGCTCGTAACCCGAATTTTAGCTTGCAACTCAAAGCAAAAAATCGGCCGAGAGACGGCTCGTATCTCGAAAAACTCGTTAGTCGGGACACTCGTAAAGTCAAGGCCCCACTGTATATATATTTAAGGGATTATTTCTTGAAGTAACTCAAAACCTTGGTACTTACTTTCAAAATAGATTTATCCAGATTTGCAGGACCACCAGAATCATTTGCAGAATTAAAACTATAAATTTTCGGACCTGTATATAATAGAGAATAAACAGTCAAGGCAATTTAATGATTAATATTTATTACACTATTTTCCCTATAAAGGTTGCTAAATATTATTTGATTTTAGCTTTTCTCTTCTTCACCAAATAATTTAATCTAGAAATAAACAATATTCCCTCGAAGTTTTCAAAAACATTTTGCCAATTAGCATTTCCTAGGTTAATCACTTTCCCATAAAGTAAGAATCCTGCAAGTCTTTTAGATTAAATCTATCTTCATCTTATTTAAAAAATTAGATGCTTTTGTGCCTGGAACTTAGCTGAAGTAAGGCCTTTCAGAGGACATTCGAGTCCTGGCAGAGAAGATGGGTGTGATTCAAACAACAATGACACATGGAAGATGGGTGGGTACAGGAAGAATTCAAAAAGGAATGGACATGTGGGGTGGGCATAGAGGATTCTGTAGATAGCGTTAGGGATAGATGGCGTTCCATTTAAAGAAAACGGCAAGAATAAACACGAGGGAGCAGAAAGCCTACAGCTGGACACAGCAATTAGTAGAAATGCGGGCCGGGTCCTGGAGGACGGCCGAATGGTTTGGACTTTATCGCGTCCCTGAGGGTGCTATGCCAGAGAGCGAAGTGCTACGGTCCAAGCCCGTTTCTCAAGGATCACTCTGCCGCTTGCCTGTGGGACAGATGGGGAGAAAGAGGAGAGCCAGACGGCTCCACGAGAAGGCTCGGCTGGGATGCAGGACTCAGGAGTGCCTGGACGGAGGGGTGAAGAGTGCACAGGGACAGGGACAGGGACAGGGACAGGCATGGTGGGGATATGCCCGTGGAGACGGCGGGGCCTGGCAGCAGACCGGGCATGAGGAAGCCAGGAAGGCATCACCCGTCACTCCTGACGCCGACTAAGAGGCGCATGGGAGTCGGAGGAGCGAGCCTGCGAGGTCTGAGGAGCCTGCAAGGTCCCAGCTCACACGGTCCCAGTCCATGCAGACATGGCTGACCTGAGCTTGGAGAAGAGAGCAGGAGTGGACGCGTGCCTAGGAGTCACCTACAGAGGAGCAGACAGACATGCTGGAAGGAGATGCCCCTCCTAGAGGGAGGTGGACAGGAACTACACGTCATCGACGGACGGACGTACAGGAAGGGCCGCATAAGAACAGAGGGACACCTGCCAGACAGGCGGAGCGGCGGGTGCGGGTGGGGGTGGAGGTGCCCAGAGCAGGCCGGGGCGTGTCTGAAGGACAGGCACAGCCATCACTCTGCATTAACAGCTACCATGCGCTGCGGGGCCACCCTCCAGGCGGGGTCTGCGCCCCCTGCTCCTGCGGTCCCTCCTTCTCAGCCACGTTGACGGGCGAGCTCCTAAGGCCCCGCTCGTCCCTGACTCGGGGTCTCTGGGACGGTGGACCGTGTCCTTGCCGCTGCCAGGAACCCCGCGCCGGCCACGCTGCAGAGTCAGCACCTGGACATCCTCCCATCTCAGCCTCGGGTCCCTTCCCCACCAGCCATCGCCCCTGCCCTCTGCAGGGCCATTCCATTACCGCGCGAAGATCTGAACCTTTGCTTTGCTTTTTTTTTTTTTTTTTTTAAATATGTTTCTATTGACTTTCAGAGAGAGAGGAAGGGAGAGGAATAGAGTGAGAGAGCATCACAGATGGTCTGCCCCCTGCACGCCCCCCACTGGGGATCGAGCCTGCAACGGGGCACCGGGCAATCCGACCGGCGACCTCAACCCCCGAGCCACGGGGCCCGGCCCCTCCGCCGTCTCTAGGGGACATCAGCTCTGCAGCCGGGGTCCTGTGACTCCCATCGCGCTGGCCAGCTCCCTGCGCGGCGGCGTGGCCCTGGGTGCACCCCCTCCCTCCCGTCGGGAAGAAGCGCGGTAGGTAGGGGTCCGGTAACGATTCGTGGA